TACATATGAAATGTTGACCAGGTCCAGGAGAAAAAAATTACTAATGCAACAATCTTGTTGGTAGGAATTTATCAGCTATGTATGAAATGGATACTGTTTTATGATCCGCAGTTTATACAAAGTAAACTGAAGATTTTTTTATAAACCTGCTCTGCAAGTCTGTGAGCATAACAGAAAGTGAGTCAAGAGTTTAGAGTGACAATGAAATGATCTAATTGTAGGGATGATCTTTTTAAATGGGAATAGTAAGTAAGAAAATATTAATCATAAACATAATATAACATTCCTTGGCAACACATGAAAAACGCTTCCTTGTATTTTATTATCAAGCCTCTATGAAAACGTTTTAGTTACTTCAAAGGATTCCTAAAGGTTGCATAGAACCTATCAAACACAATCTTATCATTCTCATCATAATATTGTGTAAGAAGAAAGGTAGTTAAGTGAGACCTGTTAGTCCTTGAAGAATATTAAAATAGCGAGGAAGCTGAAAGTCAGCTAAGAGTCTTAATAGGCTTAAAGGCCACATGTCCAACCAATGCAGAGCAGCAATCATTAAAATAAAACAAATGTTGAACTATATTGCAGTAGTAATGGAATATAAATAGAGGAAACTGGGTAGTGGTTTGGCCAAACACACTTTCAGCACTGGGACAAGTTCCAGTCACAAAGAAACAGGGAGTCTTGCAAACAATGAGGTCAATGCAGAGAAGAGCCATAAAAGAGATACTTGTCATTCTTGGTCTAAGTTATGAAGAAAGCATAAGAGAGACTTAATCTTTTTATCTGTCTAAAGATTTAGGTCTCTTATAGATATTCATGATTGTTAATGAAATGGAAAAGGTAAATGGGAATATTACCTTCAATATCTTGTGGGGGCAGGAGAAGGTCACAGGTTCAAATTAGTGAAAGGCAAGTTTAGAATGAACATCTGTTTCTTCTCCTTCACAAAGAGGGGACACAAAATAGACTTCCAGAGAGACTAGTGGAAACAAAAAAAAATGGAATCATCAAAGTATCATTTGGATACTGTTTTATGATCCACAATTTACACAATGTCAGACAGGACTTCTGGAAATTATTTGGTAAATAAATTAAGATGAATCAAATAGTCTGCTGTATCAACTTCTGGCAACTCCACCTTGGCACTCGATCCTCTGGATCTCAATCTTGGACAACCAGCACCATCATCTAAGGGTTATTGGAAATTGGGGTCCCCTTTAAAACTGAGTGCTTTTAGTATTCTATGTTTAGTATATCCTGTGATTTAATGGGCGCCACACACTACCCTAATGTGAATGTAATGTTTGGGAAATTAAGAAGATTTTTGTTCTTAGAAGGAATAAAAACTAACCTTCAAATGGAGGAGGTCAAGGGGACAATGGTCATCCTGGCATCATGAAAGCCATCCGTGGTTATTAACTGAGAGGGTTTAGACATGAGATAGATACAGCACGGCCTCCTGACCCAAAATAATGTATACAAACAGTGGTAGATGGATAGAGGGAGGGATGGAGAGTACAAGGAGTTCCCCTACATCAGCCTGAGGGAAGAACAAAGATTGTTACTCCCAAAAATTGCACATCATCAGGGATGAATACTCTTACCACTCCAAGACCACCATTGCTGTCTTCCATTCGATAGAATGGTTTCGGGATTGGTGAAATAGAGTCATAGAGATGTACAGCATGGAAACAGGCCCTTCGCTCCAACTCGTCCATGCCAACCATGCTAAATTAATTTAGTCCCATTTGCCAACATTTTGCCCATATCCCTCTAAACCCTTTCTATTCATGTACCCATCCATATGCCTTTTAAATGTTGTTATTGTACCAGCCTCTGGCTGCCCATTCTATACGCGCACCACCCTCATGTGTGAAATGTTCTCATCTCTCATAGTACTTTCTAAATAATGTATCATAGCTAAACCATTGTTTCTTAACAAGATCAATAAGCTCTATCAGAAAATTGCTACAAATTATCTACTTCCAAGTTATATAGCTTTGGTCATAAACTTTCACAAAGTCAATAGGACAACGGTTGCACCCAATACCCATTGTCACTGCCATCTAACAGCTGGCAGCCTCTCAGAACCTTGATGACAGCTCTCCAATCTGCTTACGGGATGCTTCTGTACTTTGAAGCTACACTTCAGGGTAGACAGTGACTAGCATTGGTGCTGCAAGGGCACTTTGTGGGCACAGAGGGACACCTGGCTCACAGATTGAACCAGGCAGCATCTCAGGGCTGTTCGCTCACTTTCTTACCACACACTCACCTGAATTAAGCCCACCTGGTCTTTCACAGCATCTGTTCCTTGCCTTGCAGTGCCATGCCTTTTAGTGCAATAGCACGTCAACCTGAGCCTAAAGATTCACAATACTCCGGTATTGACTTGATGTTTAACACAAATACAGAAACATCAGTCCAGGGGTCATGCCGTGGAGTACTGTGTCATTGTCAATCTCACGCATAATGTATGTGTCAACTGCCTACACAGCAAATACACTTCATGACCATTTAATCAAATGGTCATATCTGGATCGAGTCAGAGGGGCTGCTGTAAGTCAAGGTGTTCTGATACAGTCAGTCAAACGCAGAATCTGCACATAGTCCAGAGGATGGGCCAAAGGTCAGTAGTCCATTTGGGGTTGTCATGATCTGGGGATATATCCAACCACACTACAGGTACTAGGCTATTGTCAATCCTGCAGGGCGATTGCAAACAGTCAGGGGAATTGTGTAGCATCAGTCTGGGGCTGCAATGATCTGCCTAGATATTACCTGAGGCTGTTTGTCAAAGTTAGTCAGAGGCTGAAAATGTCCATCCTGAGTGTCTATGTGTTGAGAGGTGGAGGTTCCGAACAGAAATTAGGGATGAAAGGAGTGCTCTACATTGAAAGAAGTGGGAGCATTCAATACTGGAGGAGAGAGGCAGATGCATGGGTTGAGGAAGGAACAAGGATGGAGGCGGGAGAAATCTTGATATGTAAGCAGGGAGGAGGTTGAGAGTGGGAGGACATGGAAGGCTTTTGTCGGGGGTGGGGGAGATGGGGAGGAAGTGGTTATAGACAGTGACCACCATTGTGGCCTCCATGGGGGACCATACAACATAATTTTGAGCATCGCCAAATTACAGCTGTGGTGCAAATACTGGTCACAAGCAATGTCCACCATCAGGACATCACAATAAAGCTGAAGTTATTGCAACCAATTTTAAGAGAGTTGGATACTGGCCACATCCAACAGAGTTTATGTGTAACTTCCAATGGTGTTGTGCGACACAGAACTGAATTCCTTTTCAGCTGCACTGTAGGTATTAAAATTATACATTATTGTCTAGAATAAGAACTTTCATGCCTGATGTGGAATTGGGCTGGAGGAGTGTGTGCAACCCTCATTGGCAGCGTACCAGACTGACTCTTCTCCATGCTAAGAACCTCTTCTGCTCCTTACAGGTGAATACAAGTCAATGCCAGCAGCAATGATGGATCCAGCTGCAGGTGGGATACTCTTTACAGTAGCTGCCTTGTCTTAGCAAGTGAAGGCAGATGGAAATGGAGCAGATGCACTAGCAAACTCAGGAGCTGCAACAAACTGCCACCAAGGCTGAGGAGGAGATTGCAGCTGCAAGGCCCCTCAGGATGTGTCAACGGCTCAGGAGGGCCAGATTCGTTTGTTCTCAAAACCATTTCCTGGGGATGAATGAGGTGCAGTGTTGGCTACGTTGGCTATGATCCCTATGTTCGAAGAACTCAGTGTAAACAGAGAGTACACCACCACATCTCTCAATCAGGTACACTACAACTCCCAGGCTCACCACTGAGTTCAACAATTTCAGATCATAACCTCCGCTGCCAATTTTAAAAAGCTTGTTTTATTTTGCTTGTAGGTAGCAGCTGGTGATGCATCTACTCTCCATATACTGCTCCCCCAGACCCATCTTTGCTTCTTCATTCATCCCAGTGTGGCCTCTTTTGCCTTGCACCATCATCTGTTTTGTCATTTAAACTCTCCTGCCTTCCATCAAATCAGAAATCAGCCCACCCACCATTGATCTGCTCCCTTTCCCCTTACTCCATCCTCTGTACTTGCTTAATGCATCTAACATCTTCAATACTTTCCAATTCTGATTAAAGGTCATTGACCTAAAATGCCACAAATTACAGATGGTCAACAAATACTGGCCATACTAACAATGCCTATATCCCAAACAAAAATTTGTAAGGAAACCTGTGAATCGGTCCATCTCCATCCACATCAAGTACGGATGTGACGTTGAACACAGGAGCTGCAGTAGACCATTCAGTAAGATTGTGGCTGATTTGGATGTGGCCTCAACTCTGGCTTTCTGTCTGCCCCATATCCCTTGACATCTTTGTTTATCTAACTCAGCCTTGAATACAGTTAATGAACCAATCTCCACTTTGACAAACCCCTTCTGTACCACTCTTCAAATGCATTAAATTCATTAAATTTAGGATGCAAACAAAAATATAAAATTCTGGAGATAGATCACGGAGCTAGGACCGTTGATGTTTTAAACTGACAATATGAAATCTAATTAACAATTCATGGGGGTCAGTTCCTTCTTTATAGATGTTGTCAAACCCAGTAATCAATGATATAAGGACCGAAAATGGTGGAAATAATTCAATTCTGTGGAGGGACTCCTCCAAAGATGCTCGTTCCAGCCAATTTCTAACATCAACTTTAGAAAGCAGTCACACTTGGCTCGAGCAAAGCTGCGACAAGTCGAATGAAACAAATAAAACTGAATATGTTTCAGTTTTGATGATTCTGTTTTAAATTTCAGATATTCTCTTGGCTAGCTCCAATCAAGGGAAGAGGTGGGGAGTGGAATGATTTGCAACATTACTGACCAATCAGCTACCAGCGATTGCAACGTTTTTACTTCTGGGGTTTCCACCAATCACAAAGGAAAGGAGGCGGGAATGATACATGTAACGAACTGGCGGATACTCTTAACTTCACCTGATCAGCATCTGTCTTTACATTCAGCTCTCTAATTCAATCTCCCAATCATATTAATTACTGCGTGCCACCCATCAACGGGGAACGATTTGCTGCCTTGAATGCCTACAGATCAGTTGAGCGCAGTTGTAGTTTCGGTATAGGCCCCACGTGTGTGTTTTTTAAAAATAGATCCTTTTCAAATGTCAGCGATTTGCGTGCCAGGTCGGAAAAAGCCCACTGAAATCGGGGACGAAGACTCAGCTGATTCCAGCCCAACAAAGTGCAGATGTGTTTCATCGTCAGGAAACAGTGACCAGCACAGATTAGATTGTGAGAGGGAAGATTACTTAAATGATGTGGTATGTTTAGCAGCTGAAGTGAATTTACACATTTTCATACATTGATCTTGTTGGAGCTATTTGGTCGGAACGCATATGATTTTCATGGACCCAAATACTTCCAAATCTGCATTTCAGGGACCTCCAATTTAGATGCTAGTACTTTAGCCCGGGACCTCTTCAGAGCGGCAACCAAGTACTGGTTTTGTCACGTGTCAAAATGGGCCAAAATATAATTGGTTCTGGAGCTGTAGGGTTGGTTTTTAAGGTGCTTAGTTCCACTGTATTGTGGTGTAAGGTTTATGCAAAACGGACTTGGGTACACTGTGTAACCGTGAATTTTGAATCCTGTTTAAATTTACATACTGCCTTTCATGACATCCTTAAGTGATGTGCAGTCAGTCAGTCAGTCAGTAAGTAATTTTGGAAGTCTAGTCACTGTTGCAGTGTCAGAAATGTGCCAGCCAATTTGTGCAGAAAAACAGCAATGACCAGATAGTCTCTTTAATGATTAAGAGAGAAGGAATATTGGTCAGGTCACTAGGAAGAACTGCCCTGTCTTCCTTCAAAACAGTGGTGAGATATTTGCCCTTAGTTCTGAGGGTCTGAGACATGGCACTTTCAACAATGGAACACTTCTGTGTTCTTTTAATTTAATGACAGTCTGGATTTTGCAGAGGACTAGAGTGAGGTTCTTACTCCTGAGCTTCTGACTCTGGTATGACTCAACCAGTTAGCATGAGCTGACAGTCTGAGGATTTGGGGTAGACCGGGTTTAGGAGGGAGATGAAGAGACATTTCTTCACCCAGAGAGTGGTGAGCCAGCAGAATTCAGTTCTGCATGAAGTAGTTGATGCCAAAACATTGAATGTATTCAAGAGGTGGCTAGATATAGCAGTTGGGGTGAACGGGATCAAAGGTAACGGGGAGAAAGCAGGATCAGGCTATTGAGTTGGACGATCAGCCATGATTGTGATGAATGGTTAGCAGGCTCAAGAGGCCAAGTGGCCTTCTTCTGATCCTATCTTCGATGTTTCTACATACTGTTCTTGAGCCGAGGAGGAACAGACAAATGAAAAAGGCAGCTTGGGTTCTCAGAAACTCCTCGATCTTTGTGTTCGACTTGGGTCAGCAACGTATACTACTTGTTCCCAGATTCCTCCATTTCAAACTAGCTACTCTACCAGAAAATACATGAGATTGTCATGATTTGTGCCTAAAACACCCATGTTTAACTTTTCCCTTGCATCCTTGTGTTTTGTATACTAAGCCTCAACCCAATTCTAACAGTAAACCTTATTATGGGTTTCAATTGTTGTTATGAAGAGTAGTATCCATGTTGTATTTACTAGAACTCTTCATGTTAAATAGTGTTTGAATGGCTTGAGGGATTGGTACTTATGGTGAGAGCTTGAATACCCACAGGCCTGTTCCATTTCACACATGGAAGCCTCCATAGAATATCAACAGAACTTGCTAAAGATTTATATTTAATTTATTCATGGGACATGGGTGTCACAGGTTGGGTCAGCATTTATTGCCCATTCCTATTTGCCCCTTGATCCGAGCAAGACTCTTTCAGAGGGCAGTTGAGTTAACCATATTGTGGTGAGTCTGTAATCATATGTAGGCCATAGCAGTTAAGGACAGTAGAACTCCTTCCCTAAAGGAGATTAGTGAACTAGATGAGCTTTTACAACAATCGTGGTCAACATTAGGCTAGCTATTAATTTGATATTTTTGAATTCAAAATTCACCATCTGCTATCGTGGGATTCCAACCTATGTCCCCTTAGCATTGAAGAATACAATTCTAAGATTGTGTTGTGTTTAAACAGAATGTTTATATATATTTTTTCTTCAACATCTCCATTCTCCCACCCCAAATATCTGTATAAAAATAATCTCAACAAAGTGTGAAAATCAGGTTGACTTTCAGGCTTTTGTGGATCAAACCAGAATGCTGTTTGCTGTATTGGTGGTTGAGCTATTGGATAAAGGAATCGCTCTTGACAGTTTTCCAAGCACATGCCGGATAGGAATCTGAAATCAATTTGCATGTCAGTTTCTCTATAACTCCGATTTTTCACTACATAATCTTGATTTGCTGTTTCTGCAAATTTGGAATTGATGCCACTGGAGTGATGAGGGCAAACCCATGGTTGTTTATGCTCATCTCTTGGCACTGTGGCTTTGTTTAGGTGCAAATGGATGTAAAGAAAATCTGTTCTGCTCCTGGGTTAACTCTTCAGTGTTTAAACTGATGTTTTTGACCAGGAGATTAAAAGTTCCGTTTGACAGTGAATATTGAAGAGAAGCTTGACAAATGGAAAGAAATGCATGTGGTGAGTTCACTGTTCGAGGTCTGGCTCAACACTGCAGTTGAGTGACTCATCACTCAGTTTTAGTGATTCAGTGCATCAAATTGAGACTGATAACAGCTGTAATATCTAACCTACAGAAATGACTGTGGCAAAATGCATGAAATAGTTCAAAAATAACTTTGCTAAGAAATGTGCCAGTTCCAGTGTCATGAACTTGTAAACATATTTTAACAGTTACAATGCTGAAATCATTGAAAATTGTGAAACTTGAAACTTGGAGTAGCAGTTAATTGAAAATCCACCTAATCATTGAAAGGCGGAGGGGCATTATATGGATGCTTCCAAGTGTGAAATGCAATGGATGTCTGGCTACTTAAGGTCACACCTTCAGCACTGGCTTAAAGCCATTCAAATGCAACTTAACATGACTTGGAAGCATCTACCTAGAAGTTATACTGTCCAATCTCCAATAATGTATTAAAAACTAGGTGCAGGTGACATTTAATTTATTTCTGATTACATGCATTTGTGGGAGTTGAGATTAGAGACTCATGATGACTGATTAAGATATGAAAAGGTTTGACTAGAGCATAAACACTAGCATTGACTGACTGAATGGACTGTATCTGTGTTGCACAACCTATGTAATTCTATGATAACAAGGTGTAGAGCTGGATGAACACAGCAGGCCAAGCTGCTTGGCCTGCTGTGTTC